TTTAGATTTAAAAGTATGGTTATTTCTGCAATTGACGAAATGAACTGTTTTGTAAACAAAATAAAAAAGTCATCTGGAACTCTTCAATTTGCTGTGCTTATCTTGCCTTTCCAAGAATGGAAAACTCGATCACTCTTGACCGACTTTCCCGATACTCCTCGCCTATAACTACCCCCTGTGTCGTGGCGATACTCCGCGTCCGCACGCGTTGATGTGTGCAATCCAGTTTCTCATACTATAGTGGACGGCGGCACCCGTACGTTACGATTTGATTTGACCCGAAACAAATCTAACCTTACACTAGAATATTCATCCATTTGTAGTTGTCTTTTTGCCGTCTCAAATACAGAAACTGCTTACTGCCCAAGTACTCTGCTGCTCTACGGAAAACGAACGTAAGTTGATGTGCTTGGTTTACCATGTCAGTGTTTCATTCTCGGTCTGTCAAGGGTAGTTTCAGACACCTGCATGCATCATGCTTTTAGATTCAGAATTGAATAAGTGCCCGCTAGAGAAATAATAAATAGACATCAGTAAAAGAAAATCGTTGTTGTAAATTCCTCAATTTCATTCAAACACTCTTGAAATTCTAATTAGAAGTTAAAGTCAAAATGAGTAAGAGATCATCTACTTATCTTTTCCAGTAAATTTACTTTGCCCATGTTGAAAGATACCTCTCACCTTGTAAAGATAATCTACTTCAAGCGTGATTTACTTATTTCTCTTATTTTCAGATGGCGTTGGCGTGTGATGTATGCTTCAGCTATTTTGACTTGGCTCGCCATCGACCCAAGTCTCTACCCTGTGGACACACCATTTGTTCAGTCTGTGCGCTGCATCCTGCACTAGGGAGAAAATGTCCAACTTGCAGAAAGGTCAGTTAGTTAAATGTGTTGCAATTGGGAAATTTTACCATGTCTTTTCTGCTGGTGTAGTATTTTAGGCGATTTTAGGTTTACAAGAGTTATGCCTTTATCCCCCCCCCCCTCTCCCCTGCTTTTCTGGGACTCATGATGGGGCGATTGGGTATATTTAGTTGTTAGCCTCACCACCTTTCAACTACATGGTTTTAAGATTTTGAGCCATACCATACCCAAAAAAGAAATTAAACAATATGCATTGGTTTTCTAAGAAATAGTCCTCAAGTTTAGCACATTTGTTTCTAGTACACATTTTTTAAAGGGATGGGTTACTTGTAAATAAATAAAATTTGCTGTGCCTTCAAAACTTATCTTATATTCTTGTCGGCCGCTTTTAAGACGAACTCTTTGTTGAGCAGCTGAAAGCGAATTGCACTCTTTGCAGGACCTGGAGACCGACGCTGGTGACCTCCCCGACAACATCCTGGCGATTCGGATGATGGAGGGAGCAGAGGGCGCCGCACCCCACGACGCCAGGGTGCGGCAGGTGCAGCAGCTGCAGCGGGGCGTGGAGGTGGGGCGCCAGGTGGTGCAGCAGCTGCGGCGCCTGGTCCCCGTGGCGGTGGAGGCCCTGAACAACCAGCTGGCCTCGTCGGTCGCCCAGCTGCGGCAGATGGAGCAGGCTCTCGAGAGGCTGCAGCTGGCAGGTGAGGAGAGTGTCTCTCTGGACCCGAGGACCGCGCAGCAGCTGCAGGGGGCGGCGTACCAGGAGGACAGCCTGCGTCTGCTCTCCTCAAAGTCCAGCAAAGTCAGTGTCGTGGCGGAGGAGGGCGAGGCCACCTGGCGAGCCTCTGTGCAACTGGGTTCATTTGACCAAGTTGTTCGCCTTGTTCTTCTTCAGCTTCTGTCGGACGGCCAGCTGCACAAGGTAAGTGTTGCGATCAGGCTGGTCTGGACGTCGAGCTTGAACTCGTTGCTCATCACACTGCTCTCCTCCGCCCCAGGTTGACCCGTACGTGGGGCCGCCGAAGCTCTCAGTCTTCTCCATCGATGACAAAGATGTCGACCGGGAGGGCTTATTTCTGAATGTAAATAACATCCTACAAGATCGTCGGCGATGGAGAAATACACGCATCCTGAAAAACTTTAGAGGTGGTTGCGCGGAGGACCTGTTGCAAGCCATGACGCCGTACCTTAATCTTGAGGAGATTGAGCTCCACACACTTGAGCCGGCGGTCTTGGTGCAGGTGGAGAATTTGACGTCGCTCAAGAAACTGATAGTCTGTTGCCAACCCGGCTTGGAGGGCTACCCGGACCTCCCCCTGCAGCTGGAGGAGCTCTCGATAACCCATCCCACCGAGAACCAGTTGTACTGCCTGCAGCGAATGTCCAAGCTACGCAGCCTGGAGGTACGCCATTACTGGCATGGCCAAGATGTGTCCTTCCCGCCCTCTCCAAGTAGAGCGCTGTTGTGGCTGGGCGTGGCCTTCAATAAAGATCGCAAGTCCACCATGCTGTCCTTGATCAATTCCCACGCCGCCTCACTGCAGGAGCTCCAGGTCAGATGCTCATATGAACATGGCTGTACCTACTTCCCCCACCTGGGCCGCGAGCTGGCTGGGTGCCGCCTTCGGGCCCTCAGGCGCCTCGTCCTGGAGCGTCCGCTTCTTGGTGCCCTCGACAAGTGCCCGGAGACAGACGCCTGCCGCCTGCAACTGCAAACCATTCGCCGCTCCCTACCCGAGACCGTCGACGTGCTCTGCATGCATTGCGACAAGTCTGCGCTCTAGAGGAGTGTGTGTGTGTGTCGCATTGAACCATTAAATATACGTTGAATTCGTCATGTACATTTCGTGTATCATCACGTGAAATTGGAACGTCCTCGCCCGGTCCTCGCCACAAAACATTCATAGTCGACCAACCTCTAATCGAAATCAGGTCACGTCGTCCAGATTTAGAGTTGATGAATGAAATAAATGAATAAATTAACACGTTCGTAGCGGCGTGACCACATAGTGGTTAGGCCGAAGGGGCGTTTAATGGGCAAATGTCGTCCAGGGCTCTCAAATACCCGGACCGCCGGGTACCCAGGTACGGACCCAGTCCGACGGGAAGTGACGGGTAACCCGGAGACCCGCCGGGTTATCCGAGATCCGGGGGGTATCCGTCGGAACCGGTACGTCAAATTGCCTACTTACAGGCGTGGTTCCGCCGCGTACCCGGGCACCTTGTACCCGGGTTACCCGCTTCTCCGAGTAAAAGTGAGAGCTCTAATACAGTGGCCACAGCCGCACCTCTCACAGCTGCGCTCAACTCTACTGGCGTGTCCCTGTCCCCGCTGCTCACCGCCATACACTGCCGGCGTGGATTGTGATCTCTTTCGCTGATTACTGTTCAACAGCTTTGAAGCTAAATAACACACACAGCACTGTGGCTTTGTCCTTCGGCCGGCCTCGCCCGCGCCGGCCTCCAGAGATGAACGCTGTGTCGTTCGGACCCTGAGGCGGCCCAGGGTGGCCACCTCGGGGGCGCGCGGCCCGGGGTGCTGCAGGGAGAGGCCTTGAGGGAGAAGGCTCGGTCACGGCGGGGCGGGGCAGTCGTCCCCAGACTACCTCGGCGGCGCACTGCAGGTCGCACTGGCTGGGGTACGGCTGGCCAGAGTGGCGCGGGCGAGCGAGCGCCCGACGGCGACCGGGTAGGCCACCCGCCCCGGCGGGGAGCGCGGCGGCCAGGCCTACCTCTCAGGGGCCCCGCCCGCCCAGCCGTCACGGCGCGACGATGCAGTGGCCACTCGCACAGGGGCTGCCGACCGACCGACCGACAACCTCGGAACGACCAGGACGGCTGAAGTATCGTGTTCGGGGGTTTTCTCGCACGCTGAGTCCAAATCTGGTAGCGCCGATGTCGTCCGCGGGCCCCCGGGGACGTCATTGGGGACCTCCCGAGCACGCCGATGACACTCCCACGACAAATACGATTCGGCTCCAAACGTCGTGTACCTGGGCTGGTGCATATTTCTTTAAAGTCGCCAAATATAATTGCTGAGCTTAACTTGAACTTGAAATTAAACTTTAACTTTAAATGCTCAGCTCTGACAGGAAGCGCAAGGGGAGACCGCCCGGAAGACGGCGTGAAGTGAGGCGCCTGGCGTGAGGTGGACATGCATGCCAACCAAAATCGCGAAAGCATTTTAGTTTTAGCGCGCCGCAGGCCAAGGTAGACGCACATTTAGCTCAGCTTCACACGGTTTCAACGTGCGTCTACCTTGTTATTATTAACAGCAAATCGCCCATCATAATAGTTTATTATCCTGATCTTCACTATTGTCACGTGGCACTTCCCTGGCGTTGCCGCCTGAAGCCACACAAAGATGCACGGGACGGGAAGCATCCCCAAAGGATCACATCCTGGACAAGTGAGGCGGGATTGCCTTCCCCAGGAAAGAATCACATCCCGCGACTCGTGGTTAGTCAAGTCAAGACCACGATATGCCGGTGGGTGTGCCGTAATTATTGCTCTCCCCCTTTGCCGTGCCGCGTCCCCTACCCCTCTCCTCCTCCCCACCGCGCATTTCGCATTTCCCGCGCCTTTATGGAAACGTAAACAAACAGTGAATATCGGTGTCACGATCGGCGTTTCTGTTTCTGCCAAATAGACGATTTGGGCTACCTCTGGATAAGAAGAAATCAAGTAAAAAATGCCGACAAGCATCATGGCCGCCCAATATGGCCGCCCATGGGAAAGATAGGGCTGGCGGCCATGATGCTTGCAGATTTCTTCCTGATTTCCTCTTATCCAGAGGTAGCCCTAATCGTACATACCGATAATACCTACTCATATAATTGATGATGATCATAGGATTTTGACCAGAATTTTAGAGTGGACATCGCCGCTTTTCGATATTAATCGCAAGGTATAGTGCTTGATTGTTTCCGGTCCGGAATATTGAATCATGCCGGTTATTGTGGTAGGAGGTTAGTGTTCTATGGCTCAAGGTTTACACGCACAAATAAGTTGTAAGTTAGTTTTTGAGGCCGAGTAAATGATGCCCGTGATGTAAATAACTTGGCTCTCTGTCAGCTTTGTTGAAAAGGTGTTGAATGGGTAGACTCCTCCAATCCATGCAGTATGTTAAATACTGTTGTAGGTCACTTATGCAAATGGGTGAGCTGTCAGTGTTTTATCACATATCATATATTTTACTCTATATTATTCTCGTGGAACAGAAAAATTTATTACCTTCTGGTTGGGGTGCAAACCGAGTGGTACAATTTGCGTAATCCCCCAAACAATCAATCTATGTGCGTTGCAGATAATTTGCAGCTGCCCCTTCGTACTTAATGCTTAGTCCAGTGCCAAAATTAGTTATTTGAAAGACCATGGTCATTTAAAGACGCATGGGGGGAGAGGCATTTAAAAGTTTATTGTATGAGTAAATTATATGTAATTAATAGTTGATGAGCGCTAAAAGTACCGTTTAATATGATTGCAGGAACTCGGCCCAGAAATGTTCTTGACATGAGCAAGAGAAGTCTATGGAGTCATTTTACCCAATCGAATAGGTGAGTTGACATGACAGTAACCGCCAACGCTGGTCCAATTTGTCTCTGTACAGACACTATGAGCAGCTTCCTTTCGTGTGCATCAAAGGGTGGTTTTTGATGTTTTTTTGTGGTGCCTTGGTTCTTTGATGTTGGTTTCAATCCTCCTTTGTCAAAATCCAGGCTGATTTGTTATCACTGAAAATGTCTTTTAAAAATCTTGGCAATTTTTAAAATTGCTGGAATTGGTTTGGATTGGTCGGGCAGACTCCCTTTCCACATGCTCTGTCTAAATATCATGGTGCCGACCCACTACAGCAGAGTTCTTAGCCAGTGCGCCTTAGGTGGCCTACCCGCCCTTAGTTAGAGAGACCAGCTCTTATAAAACTCAAGTTTCTGTGGACAGGGGTAGTTTCTGACAGAAACAAAGGTAGTTTTGTGGTGCCTGGTTCACCCCTGTCGATTCGAGTACTCCTCCGTCGAAATCCGGACCCATCAGTATATAGCCTTTGTAAACTTTGCCAAAAATGAAAAAAAATGAAAAAAATGCAAATCGCTGGAAATGGTTGGGATTGGTTTGGCAGCACCCTACCCTCTTACTAACTCTTCGTCGAAATTTCACTTCGCAGACCCAT